CCGAACATTCTGTGATTCTGTGATTCTGTACCGAGAGCTTTGAACCAGGCATTGGTGAGACACCACCTGCCGATAGTGCAATGTGATTCTTGGCATCCAAGCTCAGAAGGGATGAGTTCAGACTAGGATCAGTCTCTGATCAGAAGTGGTGAAAGGTGATCAGGGTCATTAGCCCAACAGCACATGGACAGGAAGGGGGTATGCTTACTCTTAGCAAACATGATTCATACCAGGATTTTTAACTTGCTCGTTAGTCCTGATGAGGTCAATGTTCTAATTTGCAAAAGAATTTCACATATTTTTCCCCTTTTTATAAAAGTCTCTGTAATGTTTTGTCCTATCTGAAAGTCTTCTGGCTGAGAATTGAGCTTCTTTGTAAGTCAATAGAATTCAGCAAATATTTTTCTTTTTTTTTAAACCCTTTGGTAACTAATCAATAACATCTGTTATGAAAGCTGTGGATTAAACTGGAGCCCATAAAATGAAATTGGGTAAAACCAACTTTCTAGTTACGCTTGATGTGTCTTTGAGCACCCAGCTAGTCCAGGCCTTGAAGCAGCACGAGTCTCCTCTACATGCACTAAGAATGCTCAAATTGTATGTATGCAGCAATATTATAGTAAAATGGCTATATAAAATCTTTCATACTAGGCTACAGTATGAAAATCTGCATGAATGGGCCATATTTATTTAATGAACAGAGGCCTTACTATTTCAGTAGTCGTACGTACAATTCTAAGCACAAAAGGCTGCCTTTTGGTGTATATTTTTAAGAAGCTGAAGGATATTGGTTCTGCCTTGGTAAGACCTCCTTTTGACATTTCCAGTGGCAGTATTGCTGTTGGAATGTCTTCATGTCACACTTAGCAGCTGCTTTCTTTGGGTCGCATCCAGCCAAAATTAGCCTCTGTCGTTCCCAGTCAATGGACTTTTCCAGAGCCCACCTGTGCTCCCCTTCCTGACTTTTCAGGGAAATTTTCTTCCCTTCGGTAATTGTGAACATGTCATTTATATTTTATTCCTTGTCAGAGCCAGCTTAAAAATTTGCAGTTTCCCAGACTACAGAAGGGAAAGACTAAGAATAAAAATTCTCCAGTTTGGCTTCCAGACTACTGACTTTTTAACTTTTTTAATCTCACCTAGTTACTGAAAGACAAGTGGTAAAGCTGTCTCATGAAAAAAAATAGCACAGAATGTTAAAGATTTATCTTGACTAAGAAAAGCGGTGAAGTTTTTAACTTACTAACTAGAGGAGGGTTTGTTATAGCTGTATTATGTTATGAGCCAGACTTTCACAGTGCCTCAGGCAGCACATTGTTGATGATGATGTTCTGAGCTGAGTATATTCATATGCAGGTTCATACTACTATGAATAAAAGTCATAAGACCATTCTGACTCAGTTCAGTGCATTTATTGACTAAGACTACACAACTTACAATCAATTGGAGGATAGAGACTATAAAACATCCCAGTCCCACCTACTGGTTTCTGTGCTGGTGGATCCCACTGTGGCATATAAACCCAGCTCTTAACTCCATATATTTCAGCTTGGGCTTACTGAAAAATTTTTGGGTCTTACAATATTGCTACATGATTAGGTTAGAAAGTAGAAGTACCAGTGGATACAGCTGTATACAAAATTTGTAATGTATATATAAATGTATTTCTTATATATGTTGTTAATATGCATGCATATATGCAATATATAAAACTAGGTATAATTCTTATATATTACTATATAATTATAATATGTTTAAAAATATATATTACGTAATGGCATATTATGGCATATTGTGAAGTAAATATTATTCCTGCCAGCTTTTCTGCTATTTCCGTCTTTGAACAGAGGAACTAGAAGTGCAAAATATACCAAATTACTCATTGGTTACGTAATAGTTGAGATAAAAATTAAGTGGAAAGCTGCTAGGAAGTCTGGTTCATACCTTATTGCACTATATATTAAATTTTCTCCTCGTGTATGCACATGATAAATGCCACACCTGAGTCATGGCACAGGAAAACAATTATCAGCTTGGGCCAACCTCTGATGTTTCTTTCGGGGTAAGTACTTTTAATTGTTCTTAGTTCAGTAAGTTGTATTGTACAGCAGGAACTATGCTGAGGTCCAAGAGAGTGTGGAGTCTCGGTAGCCTCTTTTTTTCTCGCTTGAGAAGAGCCATCATGAAGCAGGTTGTCCTTCCAGGCCGGGAAACAGTGGACTGAGAAGATTCTCTGTAGTTCTTGGCTTGGCAAGGAACAAAAGGAGACACCATGAGACATGCTCCCACCTTCCATCAGAGAACAGGGGCTTGTCAGCACCGCTCAAACCTCTCTTTTCCCGACTAAATTCTTATCTTACATACAGTCTATGGTACTTATAGGTACATAGTACGTGTGATTTTTGTGGTTTGATTTTGAGTTCATGGCCAGGTAGGGGTAGTTTTCAGGGACATATGGATGTTGCAAGCAGGTGTGTATTCGATATAGAGGATTGGGATGGATGATCTGCAGTCTGAGCTCAGTATGTTGCTTCTGAGCATGTCTTCATTCATAAGACATCTCCACAGAATGCAAAATAAAATCACATCCATTTCCTAAATACGAGGTACAGAATGCTCTAAGCATCAGATTGCAATGTATGCTGAGATGAGTACTGCGCAAGTCTGTTTGAGTTCAATTATTACGTGAAAGTAGCAATGAATAGAATTAAAGTTCCCCTGCATGACTACATTCCTCTAAATGGCTGGGTAGATGGATGTATCCTGAAAAAAAGTATGAAGTTTGTGGCATTCTCTCAACTGTGATGCAACAATTCAAAATAGTAAAGAAACAAACTAAGGGATGCGTTTCCACAACCTCTCAGTGAAGTGCTGGAAAGAGCAGGAAAACGTGCAGTTTTTTAGTTTCCTGTGTCAGCATGGTAGTGCCACTGCTAAGGAAATTTTCAAATATGTTGAGTTCTGAATTGATAGCCACTTCTCTGCCCTCAGACAAAAAATGTAACAAAGTGAAAAGCATCAAAACTTACCTTGTAGAATGGAGACAAAAGTGTACCTATGTATTTAATCTGTAATTATAGGCGAAAACATAGCATTTTAGGATTTAGGGAAACCTATACCACACCTCAATAACTCAGGGAAAAGAGACTATTATTGTATATTTTTGATCCTACTGACTTCAAAGAGACTATTTCTATGCCAATGGTATTGTGTTAGACCCACTATGGAGAAATGCTGATTGCTCATGAAGCTCCTATCGGCCGTGCTGGTAACAGCTCAGTGAAGGTGTTTACAGGATTGGCCTCATGGTAGGAAATAACTGTCAGAGAAGGAGGGATGGAGGAGATGAAATAGATTTTTTTCCCTTCTATTTTTTGTACAAGACATGCTTGCTTTCATCTTAGAAGAATTGCATTAGAATGTTTGCAGTTTTACTCATCTATTTTAATATGACAAAAATCCACATTAAAGGCCCAAGTAGAAAAATAACGAGTGTCTACTCTGTTGTAGGAAAAAAAGAAGTAGACGGGAAGAGCAATTTTTAAATTTTATGTAGGAAAAAAGTTTAGTGAGAAAAACATCTAACACCATTGAAAACCTTTCTTTATGTATAATATTAAAACTGTATGCAAGATACATCTCTGTAAGTTTGGTCTTATTGGAGAGCAGCTAAGAAATTCTCTTAAAATCAATTCAACCACTGCACAGCACAAAATTATATATATCCTCCCCTGGAAGGATTCCTCTGCGGAAAGCGTTTTTACCTTGCTTTCACTAGAACTGCCGACTGTGCAACACTTCTACAAACCTGCTGTTCACAAAAAAAATAAAACCCACATCATTAATATCCAGCTGCAAAAAATTTGGGCTCAGTTCGTTTTCCCAGCCTTTGTGACCTTCAGTGTAACAGTAAAAGCAGTGTTTTCAATGACACACTGTCTTCTCTTTGTTAGTTTTAAGCAGCCAGTACAGCTGAGAGGAGAGATAATTGGTAAACTCTTCCTTCATGTTCAGCATCTACAGAGCTGTAAAAGCAAATACGGATTTATTACCTTTGTTCAAGCCTGTGAAGGGCAGCAGGATGGATTAGGTGCTGCTGAGTCCCAAACCAGAAAAAAATGGAATTTACACAAAGGTGTGGAATTGCTCTTAAAAAAGAAGCTGTTTTTCTTCCAAGAAATCAAAATGAGTTTTCTGAGGTTGCTTGTGTTAGCTTTTGAGTAGTTAAATATGCAGCCTTAACAGTCTTGTAATGTAAACTGCTAATGATTTATAGTCTTTCAGACCAAACCCTGAGTTTTCTGTTCATTTCTATCCAGGTGCCATCAGTGGGAATCTTTATTGCTGGAATGTGAGAGCAAAATGTGGCCTTAAATACTCTGGGACTTGGTCTGATGTTTAGAAGTATTCCAGAATATAATAAGATAAACATTCTTGATTGCTTCCTATGCCTTGAATTGATCTACAGCAAACATTTTTTTAATTACTTCTAATTCTCCCTTGGCTTTTTTTCATAGATCTTCCCACACTAATGCCTTATGTGCCAACTTATAAACAGTAAAGCTGAGGCTAAATCCTGACTATTGTGGTAAAAGATCTCTAAATTTTGCCTGCATGTACAACTCCAGAAGATTTCTGATGATTTTTTTTTTCTTCTTCTTCTTTATTTTAGGACAATTATATGCAGAAAGACGGGCAGCAAACAGCAGAGCGTGAAAGCCATTGATGTTAAAATTGAAACCGATCCCTTTGTGAATGACCAATATGATGCTTTTTGTGTAAAGGATGAAGGTCAGCACTGATATACTATTGAAATAATGCACAGTCATCGCTGTCTTGCAACATTAAAAGTTTTGCCTTCAGTTTTTCTATACCAAGAGGGAATGTTAAGGAATAAATCTTGACAATAATCGCTCGCTAAGTGAGCCAACCACTGCAGAGCCATTGGTTGCAGGAAATAAATTGCATTACTTTTTGTCTTTGCTGCAGTTTAGCAAGTTCAAACAGCACTGCTGAACTGGAAGAACCCATTTTGGTGTTCACAGACCATGCTTTATGGACCCGTATATATCTGGCAATGTAAGTGAGATGCCTGAAGCATCTCCTGTGCTCATCACTGTAACTGTAACTCACCAAGCTGGCTGCCAAGCACAAAACACCACGCTGATGCATATCGGTATACAGCATTTGTATGCCAATGTCTTCATTGCCTCCGTTTTATTTATTTTATTTAGTTTTTCTTTGTAAACAAGTGTAGAGTAGCCCGATAGAAGCTCTTATATATCGTGGATGATTCTGAAAACCCAATCTTTTCTGTCTTAAGTTGATGCTTAAACTTTTTGATGTTCAAGTGCCAGCATCCACAAACAAAGATGGATTCTGAAGGCAAAAAGGAAATTGTAATGGATAGGCGGATCATGTAAAGAATCATGGAATCATAGACTGGCCTAGGCTGGAAAGGACCTTAGAGATCATTTAATCCAACCTCCCTGTCATGGGCAGGGACACCTCAGACTGTCGATGCCCACAGTGAACTTTCGCATCTCATTTCCAAGAAAAGCCAGGGTAAGCAGGTGGCATTTACCAAGAAACGATAAGTTCACAACACCTGGGGGAACACATTTTGCTAAGTGGCCTGTGGCTTGTGGGAATGGAAACACGGTCGAAGCATGATGTGGCAGGGGCGACATGAATTGGGTGTGCACCTGGTCATCCAAAAAATCACAGAGTTACACTGCCCATCCTCTCAAGGAGCCCTCGTGGTACCAGCTTGAGGCTCCGTGCTGCTGCAGGCGGCACCAGCCCCGCTGCTTAGTTGCTGATGCTGTCACACAAGCACCTTTGTGCTTCCCTCCATGCTGCTCCTCACATATAAGACCAGCTCCCTGTAAACATCCACAAAACTCTCTCATTGTCTTCCTTCCAATCTCTCTTTTGTCAGCATCAGCCCCTCCTCTGCTCCGAGGAAAACCTTGCGGTGGGTGGGACAGCTGTGGGAGGCTGAAATCAGCGCTCTGGCTGCTATTGTCCCATTGTGGTCCCTCGTCCCTCCCAAACTGCTGCGGCCAAGCTTACACGTAGATGATGGGTCTCGGGGAAAGAGCCGCGTGTGCCTCCTGCGTCTGGTTGCCACAGGCAGGAAAGAGATGGTGAAGGTGAAGATCAGAGGAGAGCCTGACAACACTTGTTGGAAAGGTGAACCGTACGGGACACGGAAACCACATGGTTAAGACTCCCAGAGAAAATTCAGATCATTTGCAAAGAAGAGGCAGTTTCTGAACAACATGTTTTGTACAAGGCAGGAAGTTGCCTGATGGCAGAAAGGGATGATCATGCTGATGCACTCACCAGATGGAATCATTGCATGGCTTGAGTTGGAAGGAGCCTTAAAGATCATCTAGTTCCAGGCCCCTGCTACAGGCAGGGACACCTCTCACCAGACCAGGTTGCTCAAAGCCCCATCCAGCCTGACCTTGAACGCTTCCAGAGATAAGGTATCCACAGCTTCTCGTGGTAACCTGTGCCAGTGTCTCACCATCCTCACAGTGAAGAACTGGTTCTTAATATCTAATCTAAATCTGCCTCTTCAATTTTAAACCATTACCCCTCATCCTACTGCTACACACTCTGATAAAGAGTCCCTCCCCATCTTTCCTGCAAGCCCCACAGAGCACATCCAGAAACATTTCTGGGTGACAGTGAGGTCCTCTTTTCTTTGAATGTCAATTAACATTTAGCACATGAATGAGTCCAGTCAAATTGCTGAAGCATAGACCTCAGGGGCAGTGGTCACATGCTGGCAAGACCTCTTGAGTCTGCTAACAGGATCAGGTTTTCACAAATAAAACTCCTGGAGAGATACTTTTTTTTTTTTTACACTTCTGAAATGGATTTTGTTCTGTACACACAGAGGAATCACAGCAATCTTTGATACTAAGAGCTATGCTTTACAGGGAATTGGTACTAAGAGTTACATTTGACAGGGAAAGATGTAGTTGTAATGGTTTATGGATGCTTTGAGTATAAGCTGCAGTTTTCACAGTACAGAGAAACACATCCTCTCAGTTCCTCATAAACAAATGTTTTATGTAGCCATTAAAGTCAGGAAGACAACTGTGAAACAGCTTAAGATCTGCTGATATCAGAAAGTTTCTCTCTTAGCCTCGAGTATCAAAAATTACAAAATTATAAAAATATATTGAATTCTGCCTCTTCTGAAAAAGGAGTATTTCACATAAGTCAGATCTGGCCCACAGGGTATGTATTTATTCTCTATCAAAGCTGGTAAAAAAATGCTTCAGAGCATAAGAGAGATAAAGGAAGAAAAACAGAAAGCTTATTATTTAGTAGGACCACATACCATTTGATACCTTATGTGTATCATCCTCTCGGGTTTGCTTTCTTAATTTCTTTTTTTAATGCAACAAAGGAAAGATCTCTTTGTTAATAGCTCCTAAGTTTTACTGGTTCTTTCCTTTGGCGACCCACTGATACAGGCAACAAATAAGATCTCTATTCCATAAGGCTTTGATTTGTTGCCACTGTAGAAAAACTGAACAGGCAGAAACTTGTAGCAGTGTACAAATCCAAATCAAACTCGGTTAAACATGACTGCTGGCTCCAGATACCTGCTGGATGGCTTATGTACATATTTCAATTTGGGTTTGTCAGCAGTAAAAAAGAAAAAAAGAAGAAATTAGTGTGTTCTTTACAGCAAGTGTAGTAAACGTACTTTACCAGAGCAATCAAACTGCCACTTGCTTTAGGTAATATATGAACTATTTCTTTATATTTGTCATTTTTTTGCTTTGAATACGAAGATATTCATTTTTTCATTGCTACAGCTTTCTTTTCCAGAGCTTTGCATATAGCTGACAGTGAATTTCCAGCTACCTGGTGATGTCATTTAAAATCTGATGAAAGAGGTATTGGCACCCTACCATGAGTAGCTTACAAGCAGCACTTATATTGGCTATGATTGAGTTTTGGTTCTTGTATTCAGTGTTTTTATCCAAAAAGAAAAATTCTGTGTACTTTAGTGTCTCCGCAATCAAGAAGAAAAACAAACATCCACACTCATCTTTCACAGAGCTAAGAGTTGAGAGTTGCACTTTCTGATTTCTTAACGATGAGATGACATCCTGTAAGTTCCAGTGGGTTTTCTGGAAAAACTCTGCTGAATGAGGTGGTTGTAAGAGGGGATGTTTTATGTCAAAGAAGATGTTTCACATCAGCTTTCAGAGCACGATGCACAGTTAAAGCAGCAATTGTACATCATCAGATTTCAGTAGGTTCTGCCAGGTGATGTGGAAGCTGAAGTCTGCATCTTTTTCATTTTGATGATTTTTTTTGCATTGATCTTAGGTTGTCCTTTCTGTAGACCATGTTTTATCAAGACATCTCAAAAAAGACCTTTACAAACTGATGGGATGCTTGTAGTTTAAATCAGGAAGAAGCTTGTGGAGGATTCTGGATTGCGGAGGAGGGGTGCTGTATTCTTAAAGTGGCTCATTTTGCCTCTTTACCAGAAATCACCTGTCACAAACCCCTTTCTACAGATGGTTTGGAGTTAAAGTTACCCTTCAGAGGGGCCAAATAATTCCTAAAGGCCTGTCAGTTAACAAGAGGCATCTTCAGCCCCTTGTAAAAAATAGTCACTGAGTCTCTAAGAGATCTGTAGCCAGTCATTGCTACCCCTAACATATCTGTGCACAAGACTTACTATCTCTGGCTGTGCCACTTACTCCTATTCATTTGTCAGATGTTGACTCCATCCTGATTTCTACCCATGTATACTGAGTTTGTTATTGTCTGTGGCAGTGATTTTCACTCTAGGAGACATTCTATGCCACATTACTGCTGACACGGTGATCTTCTGTGTACTTCAACATCTCCTTCTACCTGTGCAGGGCAGCCAACTCCATCCTTGCTTGCTGGAGGTCAGCTATTGATGCTCAGAGCCCTGTTAGCTGTTGGACCTCACTGTCAATATGTGGCAAACTCAAGAAGGGTCATGATACCCAGAACCAGATTCTAAGTTTCCAGGTTTGAGAGGTGATCTTGCAAGCAGAGCATGGAATCTGCTCTGTAGGGCCTGACTATCAAGCACCTTAGGCTCTCCTACTGTGAAGATATTCACTGGGCTCATTTTTTTTAGCAAGCACTGAGAAAATATGCTAGTTTAGATCACTGAGGGGCAAGGCAGTGCTCCAGATGGAGAGTTCAGCACTGGAGGAGCCCAGTCCTCAGCTACCAACGTCATTGCTTCGGGCGATCCCTGTGGTTGCTTTAACAAAGAGCACTGCTGTTCCTCTACATGACAAGCTGCTGCCAACACACCCTCTGTCACACTTCGTGGCCCAAATCTGCCTTCTCTCTTCCACCAAAAAAAATGAATGTCAGCCCTGAGCACAGGCTGTTGCTCCAAACAAGTCCGTGCTTTGCCAACTCCTGGTACAAAGGATGCAGACAAAATCCTGAAGCCTGTTCCCAGTGATGGCTCAGCTTGATGAGCTGCTGAGCCCACGTCGCTTCTCAATGTGCATCAGGTTGGGCAAGAAAAAGGCTGAGCAGGAATTGTCACAGCAGCTGAGACTGCAGCAGGATAAGGAGCCATAAGGTGCTGCAATGTGGAAAATTCCTGTACATCTTCCACAAGAGGAGGACAGCAGCAAGATGGATGTGGGAACCTGAGTATATCCTTGTGGGGTATTTGCAGCAAGGACATGACCTTACAAGGTCTCATATGGGCAAGTCACCTGTTCCCTACCCAGTGTTCATCCATGGACATCTGTAAAATCTCTGCTTTTCTTTCTATTCACACATCAGCCAGATCTCTCAGAATTTCCTAAATCTCTATTAACCATGTCTGTTGCCCAGTTTTACAGTAAAGCTCCCTTCAGCTTTCTTCTTTCCTGGTAGGTTATAATGTGCTTTTTGAATGTGTTGGCCATGTTTAACTAATGTAAATGTTACTTTTCTGATTCCTCTGGCCACAGGATTAAGAAGTAAGGCTTTGTAGATAAGAATACCCTCTGACATATAATTATCCCATACAACTTTGGGATCAATATATCCCTCAGAGCACATACACAGCTCCAGTTTGTACTGATGGAAGTAGCTACATAAATAAAATACATGAAATGCAGGGGTCTGTAGCCTTCCTATAAGGCAATAAAATATAATTTTTATTCCTTTCCTTCACATCAATCTCTATTCATCTGACTGGTTCACAGGAAAGGCATTAGCTGCTAACTGCTCCTCACTTCCTCAGATGCCAAGCCTCCATAAGACTACATAAACTGAGCTTTGTGTAGCCTCAAGAGTTTGTTTTTCTCTGTGTGTGTGTGTGTGTGCATAACTCCCACTAACTTCTGAAGGTGTTCGACAGTATATATGGATGTGTACAGTACAGAGAATAGACTTCAAAGCCTTGACTTCAGGAGTGTATCCTTTAAATCAGTAGCAGATGTTTATCAGCACACCCAGTTCCAAAGTGATTAGCCAGGTCTGTCAGACAAATTCTAAAGGGCTGATCCAAAAGAACTTTCCACAGAGCGTGGGTGTTTATTGTAAGATATTCATTTCACTACAAGGTAAACAGGTGGTGACACAAATACATCATTCTCCTAAATAAACATGTATTAACTTAACGCCTAGGTCAGAAGTGAGTAGCTGAGGGGAGAAGCTGCAGCCAGGACTCACAAGGATCTTACAGAATGTCCCTGGGGCAAAAGCAGGAAAGCCTGAGCTTTTGCAGAAAGTAGATGGAAAAAAAGCTTTTCTGTCCAAACTATTGCCCATTGAAAACCCTGGAAGTAAACTAGTGTCAATGGAAATGTTGTTTGTGAGATCTTGTGTTCATGCTGTCCTAAAAGTAGACTCTAGCGAAGTAGTGAGAGTGCTCTCTGAAGACATTTCTCCTGCATGTTTAGGAGCATGGTCTCGGAGGTCCCTTTTTCGGCTTTCAAACACAAGTCTTTCCAAAGAATGTATTTTTTGCTTAGCCAACAGAGTGATTAGGATTTTGTACCAAGGCAAACTGGAGATAAATACTAGAAGACAAACCTGTCCCTAAGTTTACCAGAACTCGTGAGCTATTACCTGTTGGCCTCCTCATTTTCAGTTGTTCTGTATCAGGACAAAATAGGTTTTGAATTTCGGTTGTCTTGGCAAGTGGAACAGTTGTTTCTTCCACAATCAAGAAGGGCTCTAGAACCACTGGAAAAAATCACAGATTTTTGAGAAAAAATATAGAAGTGTTTATTTGTACCAACAGTGGATTTCTTGGTAAAATCACCATTTTGCATAAGAGGATTTTGTTCCTGTGTTTTTCTGTAAGCAAGAGTTTTCTATTCCAAAACTGTAAAAACTTTGGAGGAAAAGGAGAGATGGCAAAGCCCTCTTGAAGTACACTTCTGAGAGAGAAAGACCTTTGAGAGAGAGCAAACTGCAAGGTCTGGAAGTTCTCTAGAATATCTTGACCCACCTTATTAACAATAGCCAAGATTGTTCTAACCTGAAAAAAAAAGAGTTAAAATTCAGTTTACATTGGCATTGGCAGTTGTCTGTCTGCCTCCTCTGCATTTCTTTCATGTGACAGAAAACTCAAATCAGTTTTGTTATTGTTCGTAGTAATTTTTGCTTCCTGGCTTCTAGTGCTGTCAGTAGAAATATTATCAAACATCTTGTTTGATTTTCTATCCTGATAAATTTAGCCCTTAAGATTCTCTGAGAGAGCAGAGCTGTGTTACCCCGGGTGTTGTTAAGTTGAAGAGCACAAGTCACCGTTTTTTTTTAGGGTATCTCTGACCTAAAATAGAGAGAGTATCTTGGAAGAAACTTGATTTTGAGAAAGACTGGAAGATTAGAGGTAGTTTGAAAAATGTCTGGTGTCCACCTGGACCTTTTCTTTCTGTGAACACAGACGGGGTCATTGCTCAGCCTCTGCCTGCTTGCTATAGTAATTAAAGTGCCAGCCTTAAACAATTTCACAAGCTTTTCTGCAATTCAGAAAAAATTACTGTCTCCAAACTTTTGCTTTCCAGCCCCAACCTACCCAAGCCTTTGTTAACCTTTGTAGAAGCAGGAAGAGAAGATAGCAGTGGCTTGACATCCTGGGCTGACTTGTTGGAAGCAAAGCCCCTCTAGGTGCATCACTGTTACACATCACAGTTACAGTTCAATATCTACCTTCCTCATTACAGCTGAAAAGAGTTATGAAGGAGGACAAGGGCAAGATGTATGAGTTCTGTGGATGTGCATTTGCCCTCAGGGTAATTCTTTTAGTGCTGTATTTAAAGACTATTGCAAGGTCTTGAGGATCTCATTTCTTTTTTCCTTCCAGACAAGCCCTGTGGGGACCCGCCGTCCTTCCCCCACACTGTCCTGCACGGCCACACTGGCTTTGAAATGGGGGACGAGCTGCTGTACGTCTGCGCCCAAGGGCACGTCATGGGCAACAAGGAGGCAGCATTCACACTGCTCTGCGACAGCTGTGGGGAGTGGTACGGGCATGTCCAGCCCTGCGTCAAAGGTAAGCTCATGGAGGTAAGCTTTGACTCAGCACATGGAATGGAGCATCCAAGATCTTAAGAAGAAGTTCTTTACTGAGAGTGGTGAGACACTGGCATGTTTGCCCAGAGAAGTTGTGGCAGCCTCGTCCCTGGAAGTGTTCAAGGCCAGGCTGGATGAGGCTTTGAACAACCTGGTCTAGCAGGAGGTGTCCCTGCCCTTGGCAGTGGGTTGGAACAAGATGATCTTTAAGGTCCCTTCCAACTCAAGCCATGCAATGATTCTGTGAGGATAATTTGTTCCTACTTACATGAGCATAGTTTCTTTCTGCGTAGTAGGAACCAAAGTGAAACAGTTTTGTCATAGAATCATAGAATGGCCTAGGCTGGAAGGGACCTTAGAGATCATTTAATTCAACCTCCCTGCCATGAGCAGGGATGCCTCTAAACTAGACCAGGTTACTCGAGGCTTCATCCACCACCCTCTCGGCCGCCCCGCCCGCCCTGGCCTTGAACACCTCAAGGGAGGGGGCACCCACAGCTTCTCTGGACAATTTATTCCAGAGTCTAGCCACCCTTGTACTGAAGAATTTTTTTCTGAGATCCAATCTTTTTACGCCGTATCTATTCCATATCAGCTAAACCCATTTCAGGGATTCACTGACTCTTCTCCCAGGGTTACCATTAAGCTCCTGCCTTTCATTCCACTATCTTCCTTCTTTTTCCCCCAATACTTTTTTGAACTTCTGGCCTTACCTATATGATCGATCTTGCTTCCTTTTGGTAGGTTACATAAAGACCTGTGGGAGTTACAAGAGCTGTCTGTGCCACAGAAGTCTGTGCCACAACGACAGAAATACAGTTTGGGTTAGAGCTAAGCAGTGAGATGGAAAAGTTAAAGAAAAAGTATGTTATTTTAATTTGTCACATGACTTTTGTGCCTACAAACACAACAGTAGCTACCCAGGTATCTATTCCATTAAAAGGAATTAAAGTGTGTTTTCTTACCAAATAACTTGACTTAAGGACTAGGACTTTTATTGAAAAAATAAAAGCAAAATGTAAAAGCTCTGGGCAATTATAATAATGATATTTCTTCAATGTAAATGTTCAAGAAAATTGACCTTTTGATGCTGGTTAAAATCTGCAACAAACTTCACTTTCCCGTTGTTTAAACATAAGTGAAATAGTACCCTGAGTTCAGATGTGGATGCAGTCTGAATTCTGTTTTCTCCTTGTCTTTTCTCGTGTTACCCTGCTCAATGCCTACAGCTCACAATTTTTTCACATATTTAAGAACAGTCTTCAGAGTATCATCTCATTATTTTTCTCAGAAAGATATCACAACTTCAAGATGATATTTCTGGCAAAACAGATGAATTTTAAGCAAAGGAAGGGGCAGCTGTTGGGTAGCTGAACTATCTATAGAGGCTGGAGTTAGAACCTATATAAATGCCCAAGGGCACTGCAAGGAGTTATTTTTACTCATGAATATATACCACCAGGCAGTGGATAATCATGAGAAAAGGTCAAACTTGTGCTCAGTAGAAATGGGGCATGTCTGTGCACCAGGGAACCAGCTATTCAAAACCATGCAAACAGTACAGAGATGAGCAAAAGAAAAAATTAAAACCCCAATAACTTTTTGAATTGTTTCACCAGCTGAGATGATTAAGTGGAATACTGTGAGGAGTGAAGGGAGAGAAGGAAAAAATAAGAGTGTTGACATCTGATAACCCGATGGGTCTGAATCTCCTCTAGTCTGTACCGAAACGGTAATTCTTTTTCTTTGGCTGAGGTCAGGGAAAATGCTAACATTTATCACACATAGAAATAAAACTGTATTACACCAAAGTAGGGAAGAGAATGAATTAGACCCTTTCAAGTTGTGTGTGTTTCACTGTTTTCCCTGGATAAATAGTCTATTTCCCCTGTTTTGCCTGAGCCTTTCACACGCTGCAGGGGAGAGAAAAATATTATTAAAAGAAATAGGAAAGTGTGGCTGTAAAATCACAAATATCAACATTGGAACTTGGGAGCAGATGTAGTATTGTGGGTTATGATTTTTAAAATGATTTAAATGTAGACTTCATGCTGAGGGGCTTCTCTGATGAGTGATTTCAAACACTTTAAGGACTCAGGACAAAAAATACAATATGTGTTCAATTATTAATTACATATTCGATCCACCTAATCACACTTCTTTGAGAAAGAATAGAGCCAAGTATGCTGGAAATTAAGAAACCAGTACATCACAAGTGGTTTTGATGTACATTGTACACACTAGGTAACGGGCTGTAATTTTTAATCAAGATGCTTTTTAAGAAAAGAAATGGCTCTATATAGTGAGTGTTTCCTGCAATTTCTCATCATGAAAAGATGCTGTGTTCTAGCCGAAAACACAGGGATATTCTACCCAACAAAGCAACCTTAAGCAGAGAAAAGGGCAATACATTTTTCACGTTTATTATTTTTTCTGTTTCTGTCGAGGGAACACATTTGTCTCACAAAATACATCCTGAAGACTGTCGTGGCAGGAAGGTCTGAAAACAGATGTATGTGTGCCATGCTGTGGCTACCCTGCAGGCACAGAAAATGAAGTGACCATTTCTAAATGACATTTGTTTTTTTTTTATCCCGAAATGAACTCTAGATTCAATGTCAGAAACATTAATATTAACATTTCAGCAGGGGGGGGTCAGGGCTACATCGCATAAGGCTGCATCCTCGAGACTTGACTTCCTCAAAGGGAGGGAAGATTAGAGGGCTGGGAAGTCATGTCACATCTCTGCCCTAAAGCTGGCTGAGAAGAATGTCATATATTTATTCTTTTCCCTTGGCTGCGTTGGGTTTTTCCAGCTGTACCCTCGTGGCAGGAGAGGTCATATTTTCTGCATGTCTTGGGAATCTCTCCAATGTTGACACTTGGATCCTTGTCTTGTGTGTTCAGATCTGGTCTAGCTTTTACACACTGAGGACCAGACTTCTGATTTCAGCCCAAGGAAGATTCTGCGGAAGCCGAAAGCTTCAGCTGCAGGTCCCAGCCTTTTTTTGCCTGGTTCAACTGTTCTCATAGTTTCTAGCATTGCTTTCTGAGTTTTCAAGAATAGTGTCGATTCACATTCATGTGGTCTCCAAGCATGACTACACAGCAGCATTTAATTCTTTTATTTTTATTATGAGAAGGTCTCTGGCTTTTGATCTTATTTGGGAATGCATTTTTTTTTCCTCCCAAGAGTGCAAAGGGAGAGTTGTGACAGACAAATAAAATCAGCAACAAAATATGTCCACGGCCTGTCAAAACAATTGTTATGACAAACTTTGGCTCTTTTTTCAGGTTGAGCAGTTGTATTAGATTAACGTAAAATATCGATCTGGCATGAACTGATTCTGCCAAATCAAATCAGTTTGAAAAATTGTGATGGGTTATTTATTTGCATTAGCAGGCTTTCGGCTAGAGTAAAAATCCTCCTCCATCTTGTAGCTGTTGGAGAAGACAAGAGGCAACACAGCTTCTGTACTCTGGTTCCTTTGAGAGTAGTGTGTTCCCGTGCCCAATCCAAGTCAAAGGGATAATTTGTTAAGATGCTGTAGTTTACAAATCTGATTGATTTTGGGCAGATTGGTCTCCATGATCTCTTCCTTCCCACCCTTCAAGACAGATGCCGGCTTGTTAATGCTTGCTGCAACTGCTTTGAGTTTCTTAGAATAAAGATGGTTTTATACAGTGGAAATGTTTATGATGATGGTCCACATAGAATCAAGTTTCAATTTCCTGTACTCCAAAAATACATCGACAAAATATGCAGTGCACTTTATGGCTGTCCAAAATAGCAACACTCAAAATAGAGCTCGGATGCCAATATGCTATCTAGAAGAAAAATGAAACTGATCCTAGAATGTGGAAAACTGGGCTCTTTGGTTTTGCCTGCCTCTATGTTCACTCACTGTTTTCACATTAGGATCAAATGTTGAAGGAAAGCCCTTTAGGACTGGATGCTTCCCAGAAGGGACAAGACTAAATGGAAAGGATTTTAACTTTTAATTGAGCTTCATATCTTTGATAGTATGCCATTTCAGCATCTGTTGCTCTAAAATGTTCATTTCAGCCTCAGTAATGCCTCAGACAGTGAATCAAAACCCACTGATCCTCAAGTCTGCCAGAGCAGGATACAGGAAAGAGGTAGCAATGACCAAATATTGAAAGGTTTTGATCTTGGACTAATTCATTTCAGTGCTGGCTCTTCTTTAAAACCAGACCTGCCTGGATAGGAAGGAAGATGCAACTACTTTTACATCAGTTGCTAGCTGTTTTAAAAATGTGCATAAATAAAGGTCACAACTATTTGGATAGGAGGTGGAGCTGGATCTACCATGGTTGTTGCTTTTCAGTACTGAGGTGAAATTTCAGGGAGCTGGAAAGCTCAGGGAAGTGATGAGGAGGTGAGCAAAAGGAACTGCAGAAGTCGTGCAATCTGTTCCTGGAAAATCAAGCTCACAGCTGACTTAAAGGCTTGTCATGGTAACACACGCTCACTAAATACTAAGTCCAAGCCCCATCTGAAGGTATGAGGCCCAGAAGAAAGAATAGAGTATTATTACTGTGTAAGTGGATTCAGTATCATATAAATCAAAGCTTCGGAATAAGGGGGTCTATATTTCCTTTGATGGTCAGAGAGCTCAATAGTTGCTTTCATTCTGGCGCCCCACAAGCTAACATTAGTTATGTTGATAGTCTTTGCTATAAACTACACAAATACGGGAGATTGCATAAGAAAATACGTTGTAGCAGCTTTACAACTTGGGCCACAATCTGATTGTCAGAAGGAACAAGACTCCCTTATGCAGTGACAAGCAGAGCATAATGAGCCCCGATCTCAGGCTCTCTCTGGACTACAATGGGCTTTTTCTTTCCTCAGCTGAGTGCTGAGCAAGCACCGATTCATTTCTACGCATGCAGGATCAGGCCCAAAGACAGCAGGTTTGGTGGAGCTTTGATTGATGGTCCAACAAGCCCTTAATATGCTCTGAGAGACTGAGGACTCGTATTTTTCTCGCTCCTTCCTGATGTGCCTTGGTAGGACTTTGTTCTGAAGGCATGAAGGTACCTGGCAGGATAGGCACCAAAAGGGAAGAGCTTCGAATTCTATAAAAAGCATGTTGCTACAACTGTTAAGTGTTCACCAATGATCTGCACTGGTCAATAAGGTGAACACAAGCTGCCCATTCATGTTGCTAGCTAAAGAATAGGTCTAGAGGAACCAACACAAGTGCACAAATGTGATTTTTTTTCACGGATGCACGTGCGTGCAATGTTAAGATCAGTGTTTCATCCTCATCTGGATTGCTGCAGTCTGAAAAATAAATGAGTAGCAAAAATAAAGGTACAGGAGACATGCAGGTGAAGACAGATGGTGTGATGGGTCATCTCAGGGAAGGAAACTGATCATCACGGTTGGTAAATGGTGGATGTGGTGCTCAGGAGTATGGGTTAGTGGTGGGCCTGGCAGTACTGGGTTAATGGTTGGACTCCGTGATCTTAAAGGTTTTTTCCAACCTAAGTGATTCTGTGGTGTGTTCTCACATTACAGTGTTCAGTTCATACATATCCAACAGACACCAGAGATACATGCTGTCCTGAGAGACCATGGACTTTAGTGAAGCAGGCTTGCCAAATACTCAACCTTTAGCAGGTGCCTGGATGGTAAGAGGACAAAATAGCTTGAGGCACCATTTCCATGCAAAGAAAGCACCAGGGAGAAAAATTCTGAGGTGAAAGTGAGACAAGGAACAAAGTGAGGCTGGCATTTGATGGCTATTGTAAGGGCTACACAGTGGTGGCCAGTGCCTCATGGATCTTCACAAATATGTTGCTAAAAGGCTTCAGTACTCAGAGGTACCCTCCAGTCTTTAACAGAAGTCTGAAATACTGTTGGAAAAGATTTAGAGTAGATATTAGGAAGAAATTCTTTTCTGTGAGGGTGATGAGACACTGGCACGAGTTGCCCAGAGTAGCTGTGGATGCCTCATCCCTCGGTGTGTTCAAGGCCAGGCTGGACAGGGCTTTGAGCAACCTGATCTGGTGAGAGGTGGCCCTGCTCATGGCAGGGGGATTGGAACAAGATGGTCTTTAAGATGTCTTCCAACCCAAATCATTCTGTGATTCTATGATTTTAGGATAAATTAGAAAACTGAGTCTTACCAGGAAGCTTTCCACTCTGAGACCTCTGTTGTCTTTGTACCGACTGGAAGTTTTTTCCTCTTTGGAGAGGATGGAGAGGATCTAGAGGATTACACAAGCAGATAAGGGCACCGCAGTGGGAAGGGAGAGAGGTCTGTTGTTGGCACTGTTGTATCATGCCCAGGTTTCACCCTACACCCTTGCTCTGAGATGAGAGGACAGTTTTCATCATGATGGCTTTCACAAAGGAATTAACTCTCTGCAGGCTGTGTTGCACATTTCTGTTTCCTCAGCACAACCGCTTGAGTTTCTGGTAGACCTAGATGCTACTCCAAGAAAAATACCTTTTGCTAATACTCATTCTGTTCTGGCACCTGGCTTAAGCTGTTCTGGCAAAAAGTAAGCTGGTGTGAGCTGTATCACCACTAAGTGGTTTTGGTCAGACTGGTTTGACAATATGTCTAATCTTTCTTAAGAGCAGACCAAATGCTCTGCCAGAAGTCTGGGAAGCAGTCTCCAAGGAGAATGTGACTCATTTGGAAATCAAGGTTGGCCCCAGATGAAAATGTGATTCAAAGTTGGTTGAGTCTAAAAAAGGCAAAAAAAGATAAGGCTTTATGAATGCATTGATTTGTAATACAGCTTCTCCTATTAATTTCTTGTTTCCTGTGTCATGCCAGGCCTATTGCTTCACTGTCTTCATGAAAGACTAAACACGCTCTTAAAAAGAAAAATTGTCACCATGATTCAGTTTGTTTTATTTTCCATATCCCAAGGTACTATTTTCTAAGACTTTTAATGCCAGCATAAATCTCAGCAATTACATCAACTTTCTGTGGAGTAAAATTTGTGTGAGCTGAAAAATCAACCACCCTGTCTAGTTTGGAAAATTTTTAATTGAGCTAAGGTTTTAGAGGAGTGGAAGAAAGATAAATTACAATGCGTTATTTCATTCAAATTCCAATGTTTACTTTCATGCTTTGAGGCAAGTCTGTTTTGCTACAAGTGGTGTGTCTGTGGAGGCATGGGGCATATTTCTCAATCTTTTAAAATCAGGTGGCTCAAAAGCGATGAAGTTGCTATAAAATGTCTAGTGTGGGTTTTTTAAAGTCCAATTAGCAATCGATTACCTTTTTTTTGCTATACATTCCTCTCCGCACCCATTTCTTGCTTGAATATGATGAAAATTTGTCCTCAACTCTAGCAAAAAGAGTCACGTTAGGGAGACCGAAGGTTTGAGAAAACAGTAAGCAATTGAAAGACTAAATGAAAAATCCTATCTAAGAGTCAGTCCTCATAGTCCCTTTCTTTTTGGCTTCTTGTAATAAGTGAGTCCTTTTCTGGAGAAATTAAATGATGGCTTATGTGGGTTTTTTTAATGTTTCTAGACAAAACTGAGGCACACATTGACTATGAAGATAACTTTCCTGATGACAGATCGATACCTATTGTTGAGAATGAACACGTCAATGGCAAAGAGGAAATTAAGCAGGAGCAAGAACAGCTTTCCTTCAGTAAAAGTTCTGAGGAAGGACAAACTGGAGATCCCAAAGGTGTTACTCAGGACACAGACACTTCTGAAAAAGGAAGCAGGGCACCAACAGAGTCCCCCGTGTCACTCCTAAGCCAAAAAAACCTGTTTTGGTTTCCATCAGAAACTTTCAGTGAGCCTGAATTGGAGAAAGAGACAGATGATTCCACTAAAGCACAGTTTTCTGAAGGTGATAACCACATTGGAGTGAAGGCAGCCTATGAAGAACCTGGCACCAAAATGTTTTATGACAGTGAGGATTTCCCCATTGGACCCATTCTCACAACTAACGGTACAAAGGCAGGGATAGATGCAGTTGCCATTACTGACGAGTCGTGGCTGGATGGCTACCCAGTAACGCAAGAATTGGTAGAGGATGATGAAGAGGAAGGGGATAAAGTTGATGGTTCAATGGGAACAGAAGACGATGTTGTCCTCACAACTGACCAGCTGAATCATGTCGAAGTAAGAAAACCAGACAGCGGCAGCCCAGCTCCAGAGGAAGGTTTAACTCAGATCATGGCAGCAACAACGGCGGCAGATGATGAAGCAGTCAAAGAGACACTGGTACCGCTTACGTCAGTGAGTGATCTGGAGAACTTAAGCGTGAGCAGAGGTTATGACGATGCTGCATGGGACCACCCAACTACATGTCTGGGAACTGTGACTCAGGAGCCCGGTACAATGACGCTGATGGACATAACCAGCTTAAAAACATCTGTGTCAGAAACCTCTGTCATGGGCAGCCCCTCCGATCACACTCCCTATGCAGAAGCAACAACTGCCTACCCAGCACAAGTGGCCACCACTGTACCACCTCCAGATACCATCACTGACACGTCGTCCCAGGAATTCACTGAGCAAGAAACTCTCACTCAGGGCCTTGGAGAAAAGCCTGTGCCCACATCCAAGCCATGTGAAGGAGAGGATTGTCCCAAGTCCAGTAAAGCTGCCATCATAGCAGTAATTGTGATTCTACTCTGCTTGTTACTGGCCGCAGCTGTGCTGGCTGTGTGGTTTTTCAAAAAACGGCAGCAGAAAAATTCTGTCTATAAACTAAACGGAAGGTGTCAACCCAGACATCATTGCTACCACCACTACCACCACCAGCACATCGAAATGCAGAAAGTCTAACCCAGGGTCTTTCGGCAGAGATGCTAGAAATCAGGAGAACCTATCGACTCTAGAAGGATCACATGACTCATGGATGCTAAAATCCAGCAGTGCGGAAAGCAGAACTAAAAAAAGAATGCTAAAAGAACATAAAAGACAGAAAACATTTCATCGTTTTGAAATTGCAGTTTGGCATATTCGACCTTTCAGAGCTGAAGAACCCGTGCGTTTTTATCACAAGGGTGTTTTGAAGATGTCAGCAGGACACAGCGTGCTTGGTAGTACATCTACAATTTGTTACGCTTTTACATTTTGCTCCTATTAATAATAAATTAATTGATTAATTTCTGTGTTACCTGGTTATAGTGTAATGGCAGGGCTGGTCAGGCCTTCTTGGTCTATTCTCACTGGAAGAGGGAAAGAAGGAGGGAAAGAAGGCAGAAGGATGTTTTTGGAGCAAGCACATATTGGAGGTTTGTTCCTTTTTTAGGACGTGCCCAAGACGGTCAGGATAAACCACCGTAACAAATTATTACCTGGCGTGTCTTAAAAAGAAAAACTATTTGCTATAATGGATAGTATGCAACAATTACTAAGGTACTTTTTTTCGACATTGTGAATTTAACAAGCCACAAATGTTGGATCATTACGCTATTTTTCTGGAAGGTGTTCTTTTAGCCTTCGTGAAGAAGTGTCATCCTTACACTAATCTTTTTATAGAAAACCTGACGTCTCCCTGGGATTCACAGACTACTGTAAGTGCCATTCTTCCCTGAGCAGTGGCAGGAGAGGAGTCAGAGCACCTTCGATCCCAGGTGTTATGATGAAAAACCTCTTACTACAGAGCGAAACAGTGATGAAGCACTTTCCAGGGGAACCCTGTAAAAAGTCACCTGCTTTTCTGAACACGATAGCAACTGACTAAAATATCAAATTTTAATTCACAGCCAGTAGTACCTCTGGCAGCTGAAGCCATGTATGATACTTCTGCAACGTGAACTCTGCGGAAGGTCTTTCATCGGCTGGAGGGATGTCTGGGGAGGACACTGGCTCTGGGAGACGGGTGTGAAGGCTACTTGGCATGGTGGTAAAGATAAAGCAAGCCTGGGAAAGAGAGAAATTGCACCCTGTCAATAAAACACAAGCGCTTCGTTTTTAGACTGAGAGTCAGTGTAAAAACCACAGAGGCTCTTCCAGCAGCATGCTCCATTTCCAACAGGGTGAGAGGGGAGGATGCTTTCTAGCACCCCTTCACATAGTTCTGGTGGGTTTAGTGTGAAATACTCTTCCTTAGCTTTCTAGAGGACCAGGAGAAAGCCTGGCGACTGTGAATAATCTGCAGGTCAGACATAAATCCATCTGCCGCTCTATTGTACAGCCTGAGCCAAAAAAATGCCGGCAGTTCAACACGTCAAAATACTGGGAGTAAGACAAGGTGACTGGTGGAGTTTCTCAGTTTCTGCCTTGAGTCACAGTGGAAACCACCTCTTTCCTCCACAGAAGGTAGAGTTTCTGAAATGAGGTGCAGAATTGGGTCCATCGTGCATATGGCCATCAGTCTTGGTGCTGGTAGGGAAAAAAAAAAAGGCATTTTTAGACGATGGCTATCGTGGAGAATTTGACCTCAGAGTGATAAAAGTCGAATATAAGTGCCCGGCAAGAGCCATAATAAACAAACAAGGACAGAAACTGTACAGATTTGTAAATATTGTGTTCTCTGACATATGCATGACTTTATGCTTTTAATGCGTTCTAGACTACAAAATAACCTAGAATTTCTGTTGTAAACTATTTTTTTATGCAATAACCTTTAAAAAACCCCTAAACCTCAATGAATTTCGCACTAAGCAACTTTATGGAGACTCTTAACTAAACATGCCTTCTGTAATCTCACAGAACTATGCTAAAAAATAAACATGGGAACATCCATTAAAAATACTGTTTAACTGAAAGGTACAAGTACGTGTTACAGTTCTGTGCAGCATCATTCAAAATTAAGTCAATAGTATTTGACTCAGAAACTGAGCATGTGAAAATGAAACTCATAATTACAAACACAATGTGGGATCTTATTTGAGACTTAGATACACTTGTTATTCATGAACCAGAAGAAAATGTACATTAACAAAACGCTTTGGAGGGATTTAAATAAAAAACAAGTGATGGAAAAAGGGAAAGGAAACGTTTGTGCATGTTCTTGTGCAAATCATCTGGCTCACCCACATGTTTATGGAGAAAGGATAGGTCTGTAACTTGGATAATTCTTGCAGAAGACACGTTGGTATTAAAAAAAGAAGCTGACAAGCCTTCAGGTTAGCCTGCCAGCTTGGTTCTGCTTCAGAAGACCATCTATCCCCTTTTGCAGCAGCATCTGTACTCATGGTTTTCACTTTGCCAGAATAATTCAGGGAGTTTGGGAGGACTAATGAACAGATGGGGATAAACAGCCCATGAACGATCCATTTGGCTCAGACCCCTTTTGGGTGTGAAATCAAAGACGGTAGGGATGGCGAATGATCCATATAGTATGGTAAATACAAAAATCTGAAGATGATACGGTCAAAATGCAGTAGGAGATAAGTTAATTCTTATGGAAATTAGGAGCTGAAAGTGCCAGGTGTAGGCTGGAATCAGGAGAGGAGAAAAAGGACAGGCTGAGAACTGACGCCAGGGGCTTCACTGCTGGCTGGGTTTGGGGGCTCAAGGCCTTGCAACAAAAAAGGTGTTTGCTCCCCTTTGTTCAGAAGCACTGGCATCTTGGCTTTTAGGTACTCAGTGAGCTCTCAGCCTGGAATCACCTCAATTTCTATGCTTGCCCTTGCATTTTGCGAGGTGACAATACACGGTTTACTTTGCTGTACTGCCTTTATAATGTACCTCAAAAGCTATTATGTTGGGGATTTGTTGCCAAAGGCATTGAAGCCAGCATAGATCTTTTTTTTGCCTTTAGTGAGAAGAACTTACTTTTTTTTTATATCCAATAATTTGTAATGCAAAGATACAACCCAATACATAGCTGTGAAAGTCAGAATATGTAGCCATGAATGACTGTTTTAAAAATTAGTTGTAACAAAAAATGAGTAGATAATTGCAAGACTTCTCAAGCTACAGGGTTACAAGAAGTTCAGGATAACATGTAAATGCTTAACCCCTTTTCATGTAAGTGATAGCAAGAATGGGGCAAAAGCAGAAAGACCCAGGTTGGGTGTTTTTCTTTAAAGTTATCAGTCACATAAAGTCACATCTCTGATTCCCTTATTTCTACTTAAAAGTAAGCATGTTCCATTACTTTGCAAAAGAATTAATCAGGAAAAAAGCACATTTTATTTCTTTGTGCCACTTAAAAGGCCGGCCCATGAGATACATCAAGGGGAAGAAGTAGTTAAAAATAATCAAAGAAAACTTAGAAAGTTTTTCTACAGAAAAGGTTAGCATTTATAAACTTAAAAAATCAGAACTCTCTGCAGAATTTAGTTTCCATATATCATGGGTACTCTAAGGAGAGAGAAGAGGGGAGGGAGGAGAGGTGGGTGTCTAAACCACCAAATATTTCCTCACCATAAATAAATAAATAAATAAGGCATCTTTTTATTTTAATATTTTTTCCTAGGCACTGAGGAGGACTTAAGATACAAACCCCTGATTTGCTGCGGCATGCAACCCAACTTACCGTGGCTATTTCTCCCTTAATGTCTTTTTTGTGTATAGCTTAAACTCTCCACACTAGGTCATTCAGGTCTTGAGTCACCAGAAAAAAGAAGTCGCTGTTTAAAGTATGGCAGACAACCAAAAGTTCAGACAGCTGCAATGAAGGATTAGTTGTGGGTTTTTCTCACTGCCTTGCTACAAACTGCATCACAGCTCTATGTTCAAACATTATTAAATGGGAATGTTTTCTCTGGCACTGACTACTCCTCCCCACAGTTTAAGTATTGAATTTTTTTCACTGAAGTAGCCTCGGTTTACAGTGCACATTAGAACTTAAAAACATACTTCCATAGTAGCTGGCATATGCAGGCAACTGTTTATTCTTGGTCCCAGCCATAATAAACACTTGTACTTCTATAATCCAACAAATCTTTGTCTAATCACAACTCTGTTTTCAGTGCTATTTGAGCCATTTTTCATGAAGGCTCTCTAGAAATGGAAAGATTTTCCAAGTCCACCTTCATTATCAACATCAGGTATGAACGGCAGCAGTCTGTGGAGAAAAAGCTCTGAAAAGTGGGATTTGTGGAGGAATAACGTGTCTTGAGGAGACCTGCCTTTAATTCTACCTTAAACTTACTCGCCTGGCCAGTCAGAAACAGCACCTCCTTGCTCAGGTAGGTTTTCCAGAATTGAGAACAGCACCCACCTAAATTTATTTTAGCATCGCAAAGCAGTCGAGCTCTGGAAAATGGCCCCATTTGATTTTGCTTTCGTCTCATGCCTTGTCAACAGAAGTAATGAAGGTCTGGTTGCAGAATCGCTGCAGTGGATGAAAGGGCCCGGCAGGTCATGTGAATTCCTGTTGAATTTGCCAGAACTGATCATTCCAAAAGCTTTTGGTTCTCGTAGCTGACTTTATTGGAATCACAGAGATGCAGAAGTATGGAGCCTGTGATGCTGTGTTATGGGAACAGAATTAAACTTTGAGAAGAAAAATCACTACTATCCTTCTTTTTTAATGAATATTGCTTATGAGTATGAATTCGCAAGAAGCTGGCAATACATGAAGGATTGCTATCATTAATAGCAGGTATTAATTTGAAAAACTACATACTACGCACAGGCTGTCAGGTACATGGATTCCCAACCTGTGAAGCTCTTCCCGTCTCAAGCTTTGATTCTCACCCAAGAAAGACTGTGCTGACAGGTGTGGTTTTCACATAACCAAATACCCACACGAACACGGTGGCTTCAGCAAAATGCCACTTCCCTGAGCATGAGCATCATGCTATAAGCCTTGTCAAAAGAAGAAGTGGAGGTGAAATCACAACTGCAAGGATTTGAGGTGGCAGAAGGGAGGCAAGAACCATATTCCCACAGCCTCTCAGGAGGAGCTGGCAAGACCAGAGAGAAGTGGGAGAAAGACATTGATTTATTGCAGTCATATGTAAATGCTGGCATTTAACAACAGTGGCAGCAAAAGAAAAATCAGTCAAAAGAACCTGAGAATGCTGTAAAAAGCCACAAAAAACACTGAAGAACTGCAAGAGGAGCTATTTCTCATTAGAAAAGAGCAAGCGTTTGAGAACTACTTGTACTTAGTAAGATTGAACTGGCTTGGGACTGTATGTAGTGGGAATTAAAGCCAGAAAAGAAATCCACAGACACTTGAACAAAAGGAAAAAGGGAATTGCAGCACCATTCCAGGAGGCTGCAAGAGTACCAGTTGCCTCTTCAGGTTAAACAGAACAGTAAAGGTCATCAGACTTAATGTAGGCTTAAGAACAAATAAATCATTGGCTAATGGACATCTTAGTAAATCATGAAATCCCCAAAAAGGCACAATAGCAGGGGATTTTAGCTGTAAGGTCGAGAGCTGAGGAAACGACATAATATGCAAAGAGACCAGCTAAGGAAGCCTTAAAGGCAGAATCACAGGCTTACCAGAAAATTGATAATGCCCAGGAGATTTGCAATGGTTGAATAACTGTTTGATGGAGAGGAAAAATGAGGGTTCATGGACACTAAATGTGTCCCTAGTGTAACCCACTGAAATAAAACGAATCACAAACCAGGTTAACTCTGGTGCTCCATGTTTTACTGGTGGAATGAAAATATTACAATATTTTTACCATGTACTTTGTTCTTTATTTTATAGCGATCTCTGTCAATTAGTACTGGGAATTCCTTTAACAGGAAAGAAATAATCCCAGGTGGCAAACCACTGTGATCCTGGCTACTTGCTTCACCAACAAGCAAAATGAGATGAGAAGCTTTATATATATGTTATCTCACCGCAAGATGTGCGGTGAGGTCCAAATATTCTTCATGATTCCACTTAAAATTGCTTCTCCGCCTGTACTTACCTTTTGGATGAAAACTATGCAGAAAGTCCCATGCCAGCTCTTTTCTACAGAAGAAAATAGTGAATGCATCGATCACCATTGTTTCGTACAAGACTGGTGCCAGCTCACACAGGAGCCACCAGTTAGTTCACCAGAAGGAGTGAGAATTGGTAAGAAGAAGAAATTATTTATTTTTCAGCTCGAAGTGACTTCAGTTTCACATAACAGAATTTAATTTAGTTTTAAGAAACTTACAGAATTCTTTAAACCACTTTTACAAGATCGCTAGTTGTGCTTTGTTAATCATCTTAATTCAGCTATTTAGATGTATGGTAATATCTTTCGGGTGCACTGAGATTCCATATCACTTTACTCATCATCACAGAAAAAGACACATATAAATAATACAATACATAGCTCAAAGTCTAGAGGAACTGCTATGTCTTCCGTGGTTCCTAATTTTGACAGAAGTTCTTTGCAATTCAGCTGTACTGTTGTAACTTAGTAGAACAGCACTGAAACGAGGACCCTTAGTGTCAGCCCAACAAATACAAATAGTCTCTTTTTTGTGTAAAGGAAAGAAAGCTCAAGGGGAGAGCCCACAAGCACCAGTTCTGTAAAGGCTCGGCAAAGAGTCAGTGCAGCATGGGCGTGAGCTTTTGGGAGTGGATCTTGTGCCATCAGGTGGAGCTTGAAGAAGCAGCTTTGAGGTGTATCTAACTGGAACTACAGGTGACCAAAAACAATAGTATGAAGCACTTCTGTAAGATAACTTTGTGGCGCTTTCACTCATCAGGATTCCTTATTTTCCTCCACTTCTAATAGCTCATCAAGGAATTCCATTACTTCACCCTAGGAAGGGTCAAATTTAGCAGGAACAAGTTAGCCCCGTGCTGCAAAATCAGTGAAAAATTTTAACTATTTTCATCAAAACATATACTGTAATTTGTCTAAATATTTTTTAATGCCCTTCATAAAAAGCTAGCACAGCAAGCCTATATAATACAAGTAAATTGGGTATACAAGGTTAGCACAAGTGCTTCCAGTGACATACAGACCTTTAAAGAAGGAAATGTTACACTTCACAGCAAATCCTCTTGTACTTTCTTGCAGTATCAGGTATTTAAATAGACAACAAAATCTTCAAGCTTAGAAAGCAGAGGCACAAATGTTTAAAGCATTCGCTAAATTCGGAAATTATTAAAATACCGTAAAACATTAAAGAATTTTAGAAAGTTTTGAAAGTCCAAGCAGAAGTGTTTTGCAGAAGCGTAACTCTAACTTTGCATCTGTCCGCTTGAACTGTTTATGTCCTCTGTTACACCCATCACCATGCACCACCTCCGTTCTCAACCACAGACCTTCACACCCAGCAAAAACATCAAGAACCAGAGATACTAGAAAGTTTTCCTTACTGGAAATAAAGTTATAGGTTGCACACCACATTCAAATGTCTTCTTCTGGCACCCTCTGAAATACTGAGGTTTCTGCTTTGCCTGCCACACATCAGTCAGAAACAAAACTGCCCAAGATGGGAGAGCCCATGGGAAAGCCTGCACATGCACTCGCTTTTTGATATAAAAACAAATATGAAGATATAAGAGAGGTTTTATTCTACAATGCTTGGTTTAGCTGCTTTAATTTAACTGCAGGTTGTTTGTTGTTTTGGTTTTTTTTTAAACTTCCATGGCCTTCCTTTCCTGACATAAACTTAGGTTCTAAAAAAATCTTGAGATGTCATTTAGGTTTTTTTCCCCAAACAAATTTTCGCTTTCTGATAGAAGAATATTCTGCTGGAAAATCTGATCAGCTCTTACTCGCTCTGATGTTTAAAATAATAAGGATTTAGAGTTACATTGAAAGCAAGTCACCCCTGCCTGGATGCTCATTCTCTGTCTTCCAAGTCTTTGTGAACTCTATTAGGCTTCTGAGTCTGCTCGATCAAGAACGCAAACAGTATTTTACAAACCTAATTCAATTTTAAGCACGTTTCTGTCTGCAAAGGTATTCTTTAGGAAGACAGCACCTTCCAGACACGTGCAGTTTGTGACTCCAAACTGTACAGTTTTCTATTCTGCTGAAGAAGAGGCATTAAAACATCTGTCTGTGGAAACAGTAAGAGGAAATAGAGAATTTTTGTCTGTTTTGCACACAACAATTATATTATGGACATGGTGATTAAAAATTTTAACATCACATTTTTCAGAAGTGTGATTAGCAAGGAGAGAAATAATGAGAACCAAGCAAGCAAGCAACAAAAAAAAAAAGGCAGGAGGAAAGCTGGCTGAAATAACTGTTCTTGTTCCCTGCTTCACAGTTCCATCTTAAAAGACTGTTGAATTTTTGCAACTGTGAAGTGGTTTTAGCAAGTCCTGAAGGATGGCAATTTATTTTGCTTTGAATTTGTTCAAAACATCTAAGTGTCTCAATTCAATGAAAACACAAGGAAAAAAAATGCCACATTCCCTACTTGTCTTGCTGGTTGCAGGAAATCTGGCAATCGGATAATCAGAATTCGACATTTCTGCACGTTTTCCTTTGTTAAAAGTATTTTGATGGACTGAGGAGCCCAGTCCCAGGAGTAACTCAATGCCACTCCACAAATACACATGAACAAAACTGCCACCCAGTCCAAGAGTCACAGTGCAAGCAGCTGAAAGACACAGAAACAGAGGTCCCAGATCAATTCTTTTACACATTCATATTGTCATGCTCACCAGTAAGATCGAGTATTTCAGAAGAGAGAGAAGATTCAGTCAGAATTCAGTTTGGTTTTTTTTATTTTTTTCTAGTATGTATTCAAATCCAGAAACACATAAGAAACCCAAGTTTTAAATGGTAAAGGACATTTAAAAGCAACAGTATTGGAAAAAAAAAAAAAAGAAAAAAAGCCTGAAATCTCCAGTGGCTGAAATTGATCTCTAAAGGAAAGTATGACAGAAGCTGCTGTAGTCTAATGAGAAATACTGGCATGTATGAGAGGTTGAAATATGGTAAAAATATAAAAATAACTGCCAAAACAATATCCATACAGAAGAGTAATGTGACTGACTAATTGCGTGGATGTTGGTTGATTTTAATCTGGAGTTTTTCCTTTCCAAAGACAAATGAACCCCTGTAGTTAAAAAGGTCAGAAGGTAAAACGTTTGCAGCAGAGCAAGGATGTAAGGGAAAAGGTGGGACAGGTAGAGCCTGTAATACAGGAGGCATGATATGAAGAACAGTAGGGGAACATTCCCAGACTGGTGTGTGTGATAAAAAGAATTAGAGGAGCTGATCTGACCAACCAAAGCCTCTAACTAATCTGTCAGGCAAGCAAGCAGAGCACCCCTGGCTTAGAGTAACAACTGAATGGAGGCGTGCAGAGAAAGAACAAGTTTGGTACTACAGTAACTAAATCGAGAAGGTTTTACAGAGGGTGTACGAGTAGGCGGACTGGAGTAAAAACATATTCTAAACCAGAGTTCTTGCTCAAGCCCGAATAAGCTAAGCCAGGCTAGTGGGGTTGGTGCACTATTATAAGAGAAGCTAAAGCATTTGAAAAAAATAAGTCCTAAAAAGGAGAAAAATGCACAACTCCTCATTTATTACCGCAAACTGAGTGTCCAAGGTACACATTATTCCAGGGATTGTTGCCGGCCCTTCCTTATGCAATAGTAAATGCTGCTTTCACACACACACAACATCCAACCTTTTAGGAGAAATGTCTGCACTTCAGAGACTCCTAGCCAGCTATTAAATTAAATGGCAAAGAGGAAAAGCTACCAATGCGTGGCTCAGTTACAGCCCACCCGAGACCAATGTTCCAGCACCAACTTTTCTTTTGACAGCAGCATTTAAATAAAACCAGCAGCAAGCACCAGCAGTTGTACTGCTCGCTGACAGACCCCAACACTTTGCTGGCAGTTGCAAAGACTAAGCGTCACCTTCTGCATAGCTAATATTAATTGTTCATGGGCGCTTGCCTGCCTCTATGATCTGTTCTGTCCTTTCTTAGTGTGGACTGGAAAAGTTCTTGGGGGAAAAAATACACCTTTCTCTCAATAATCCATACTCGCCATGCAGATCTGCTGATGGCCTTTTCTATAGGGATTCTATACACACTGCAGCAGGACAGCCTGTTTTTCAGGGAAGTAACAAAGAATATTAAAATTACAGAATTAAGAGCTACTGAAAAATATTATTATGAACCTGCTTTCATGTGTAATTATCAGTAAGCAAATAAAAAGCAGCCTTTAACATAACTCATCCAACAAACACAGCCTTAAGAGACAATACACAAAGCAAAAACTGGCTAGATCTTTGTTTCCTTATAATCTGTGACCTAGAAGGAAAATATTTATCCCACAAAACAGCCCCTGGCTGTCTTTCACAGCAAAAATTCACATTTTGCTAAAGTTCAAAGAAATTAATGACTGGTAACTTGATCAACAGAGAGAGAAACAGATTCGAGTCCTTTATGTACTGGGTGTAGTTTCAAAGCCGTGGCACTGGGAAAGGCTCTGCAAGTAGAGGTAACTACTACGTAATTGGCCTGTAACTGGTCCGGTAACTAATTTGAGTAACTAATGGGAATAGCGACAAAGAATTCAGTTATGAAAAAGAGAGGATTTGGGTCAAAGATGAATAAGCATCTCGCAAGAGTGAAGACAAAGGTTTGATATAGACAACAGTGGAGGATACGTGCTCCATGAGCCTGGTAGAGCCTGGAAGTACACATCCCACAGCCCACTGGGCAGTGGTATTTTGGGGACACAGATGTTATTTTGGGATAACAGTAAGGCAAGTGTCAACGAGTGGCTCAGCGTGAAAGGTTTATTCAGCCTTCGACCAAGAAAAAGTTCCTTGATCTAACCTGCAGTTAAAATACGAGAGTTCACTGAAACCACCTCAAAGGCCTCCCAGATCCTCCACAAGCAGTACAGACCAGGCTGGACATTCCTTGCATTCTAGCAGGGGGAAAAAGTAAATCCCTGAATTCTTTGTGCAGAAAAATTATTTGGCCCTTAGCTTGTTTATTTGTCAGGTACTTAGTCTACAGTGTGACCCACTGTCACATGCTTTCCTTTTTTTCCTTTTTTTCCTTTTTTTTCAAGATTGAAAGAGCTTAGTTGTTCTTTACTTGTACGTTAACTGCTTTCTCAAATATTTTTCCATTTCATTTTATAATGACATATTCTGAACTTGTAACTGTTCTCTTCCCATATACTATGGGAGACTCTAGGATGCTGCAGCTATTACAATAGCATTTTAGAGTAATCCAATAAACATACTTGCCTTTTAACAGTTTTATAATGCCTATAAAATGCGAGTCAACCCAGTTCCAGAGCAACTTCAACGCTACTCACTTTGATGCTATTCCACATGTTCTCTTTCCACCAGTCACATCAGTTCCACACTTACTCTCCTTTGCATCACACTTAAGAATGGAGCATTTGAATTTCAGCCACTATACGAATGCACACATGCATTATACACACATAAAAAGAACAAGCTGCCAAAAAAGCAGGTCAATGCTGCCAACGAGGTTTTCACCTGCTGATTAAGCACCAAAAGAAAAATCACATTGTAGCATCATCCCAGCCAAATACTTGCAGTTCTTACGTAATCTAGAGCAGCTAAGCAGCTAGTCCTGAAAAACAAAAATTTCCTCAGGAATACTGATTTTACGGGTCCGAAGCAAGTCTCATACAATTAGTCTGATGCTGAAGTTGTATCTACACAAGCTGAGTATCTGGCTTTTAACAGCGTTTCCCTTCACTACTTAAATCTGTGCAGTACTAAGAGCTGTAACTGTTACGGCCTCTACACATTACATGTCTGAACAGAAATCAAAAAGCTCAACTATCCATGGCTAACTCAGATGACACCACCGCATAATGTTCTTTTGACTTCACCATGGAAAACTGTGAGGATATTTAATAATTACTTTTCAGAAAAAGCAATTTGTAGCTAGTTGGTGCTAATATTCTCTGTCACCTCTGCTGTGTTAAATGCTTGGACTGGAGTTTTTAATTTCCTTGTGGAAAAACATTAGTAGAGTAACACGAACAGGACAGTATTTCTTGTAGTGACACATGCAAAAATCATTCCAGCATGTTCCAGCCTCTGCAATTACTGCAACATACTATTGAAAGAAGCCACATGTTCTCACTCACTTTGCTAATGGGATTTAAAAAGACACATGAATGGTCTGGGATACGGGAGCACTGAGAAAGCTCAAGAAGCACTGAGAAGGCCCAAGAAGCACATGATTTAAATAAACAGAGCACACTGAAAAGACAGGTTGCCTCCATCCTTCACAGGTTTTAATAAAGCTTTTACTGGGTTCTCACCTTATCTGGGTTTTTCATCGGTTTGCAGCATTCCTATGGAATAAACTTTTCTCTCCGTGCCAGGAGAAATATTTTAAAAATTTAAAATTCCATTTAACACTACTAGCTCCTGCCTATACAGCAGAAACTGCAAGGTGGCAATTTCACCTCCGTGCTATTCCTGCTCCCTCTGGACTCCCTGGATGGCTCCTGCAGCCACGCCAATTTCTGGTAGCCAGGGATTTTTAAGAGTTTGCTACCAAAAGCCAGAGCCAAGCCAGCGTGGACAGCCTCCATCCTTCCCTCTTCAGCCCAAGCACAGGAGGGCACAAAAGTCCTTCAGCTTTTCCCTGTGAGAGGTAAACAGTAACTTTCCTGACAGTGTGGGGAAAGGACATCTGTGGCAAGCCCAGGCCCAGTAATTCTGGTTGTTTAACCGAAAGACACGATCGAGCGCAACTTCCCCATCACTTCCCCAAAAGCTTAATAAATAATTCACAAGGCACTGCTTCTCCCCTTCCTTAATTACTCATCCCCGTGTTTTGAAGCAGTCTAGTACTAGTCATTATATTTGGCCATGAGTTCCCAATATTTAAGAAGACAGGGTGACCAAAATGTTACTGTGCAGAAAAAAAATAACAAGTAACAAGACTTTCTTTTGGCAAAAAATTACAATTCAGGTGGTAACTTCTGGACAATATTATAGAGATCTTTCAATCTAATTTAAATAACATTTCAGAAAAAAAACAAAACAGCAAAATAAAAAAATCCCACAACCCAACCAACAAAATAACCCCCAAAAATGTTTGGTTTAAATAAATAAATAAATAAATAGGCAGACAGATAAATAAATAAATAAAGGTCCACAGTAGTGTGTATCTCTTTATAGTAGTGTATGTATATATATAGTGCTGTATATATATACACATAGACACACACTACTACTCTGCCCCCTGGCGTTACAGCATGCAAAGTGTATTTTCTGGGGTTTGTGGGCTCACTGCATTGTATTTACCCCTGTGTTAATTATGTCCATATTTTTAAATGGTATGTGATGTTCTTTGGTTTTGTTTCTTATACTCCATCTACAAAAGAAAATTTTATGATCAAGTGTTCACGGTTACAAGCAAATTTCTCCATATTAGCTAAATCCTGGATTTCCATCTATATATCATCTTCACTTTAATGCGATTGCTGGCTTTTCTTTGACCACGGTTTCCTTTCTAGAAAACTCACCTCATCATCATCCATCAGATGTTCCTTTGCGAATTCATACATTTCCGACTGGAGCGTGGTTATGTTGTGGTACCTAACTGCCTCCTACCAGGAAAAAAAAAAAAAACAAACAACCAGGAATTTCTATGTTACTTTAAGGTAGCAACACAGGGGAGTGTCATCATGTGTCACCTGGAACTACTCCACAAAGTCAGATTCAGACTTGGTAGATCTCAGACTCGATGATCTTAAAGGTCTTTTCCAATCTAGGCAATTCTGCGATCCTGGGGTGGGGATTTGAACTTTGGGAAAAGTGAAGAACAAAGCACTTTCTCCTCTTTCTCATGTTTCAAAGCTTTGGTGAGTGGAATAAGGAAGGAGGCTGCCAGGGCTGTGCAGCAGCAGCCTGTGCCTGCATTCCAGCCGGCTTTGGATGCAAGAAAGCCTCAGCACTTCTGGGAGAAAATGAAACACTCAAATTGTTTCGCATGATAATGATTCACCAGGAAGAGGGAGATTTTGCAGGGTCACCCACTTATCCCTCACCTCAGTGCCCCAAACATTTAGCTCAGTTGCCTTCCCTGGTATTTGTGAGCAATCTACTTTGATTATCCTGTTTAACTCTTCTAGGGGAGAAAAACAGGAGACTCCCCTTTCAAAAGAGTATCTAAAGCTCGGGGCCAGAGCCAAATGCTTTGTGAAAATAAACCAGGGGCATTATGGTTTTCATGGCAAGTGATTAGGGCAGCAAGCAGCTCCTGCTCATGGAACAAAGTGCAAGAAAATACTGCTGTGTGCATTTCATATTTTATGTTAAAAAAATTAAATACAGAACCCCCATTTGCCTAACCTCTGGCCCACTGAGTTTCAGGGCAATACCTGAATGTGTCCAGAAGGCATTTTAAGTAATTGACCTACCGATCTGGGCTGAAAATCCTCTTCTTTGAGTCCCCATTTGTCTTTATGGTACTGATAATAGACCATGTTCTGTTTCATCACTTCATCTTTCTGGTCAAACAGAAGGTAACTAGCAGCACAAGAAGCTGCGTTCCTCATGTCATTCACTGATTAATAAACATACACACAAATCCAGGTTAAACAACTGCATTCCTACTGTTATCTAAGCTCTGAAAAACTCAAGATGGAAACAAACCCACTTCCTACCACCCCACCAGGTGCAAAAAAAGGAAGGAATTGCCTTCCAGAAAGCACATGTCATTTTTGTCTTCTGAAACAGGGAAGGCCATGATTCAAAAATGGGGACTTACCACTGATGATTTTCTAGAAAAATCCTAAACCCAATGTCCTTCCCAGGTAGGTATCCCAGTATCAGTGAGGTGTCAGCCCACATTAAAAAACAAATAAACAAAAAAATTAACCGACCTCCATTTTTTCCTACTAGAATTGACAGATCCTGGAGGCTGCTGTTTACAACCTAAAGCTTTATAACTAAGGGGAAAAGATCACAAATAGAAACTGTCCCGCGTCACCCCAATGCTTTTTAAAGCAAGTTCAATCACTACTTACATTTGTAATAAGCAAACTGCAAGTAATGGTACATGGTAGCCACAAACTTCTCCACAACAAAGCCTCCTATAATGGGAGTCAGATTACTCTCACACTGCACTTTGCACGCAAGAACTTCAATGTAATGATCTAGAAGGAAGAAAACAGAAGCATAGGATACGGATAGCATGCAGGGAATTACTGTCACCCTTCCCATTAGCTACCCATTAAAATTCGGCTGTGGAAAGCTCTCCTGGGTCCTGTGCATCTGGTTCTTGCTGCCTGGGAGTACCGAGCACCTACAACTCCATCGGAAGTATGCATCAAGCACTGGTACGCAGCCCTTCCGTAAAAGTCGGACTTGAAATGCACCAAAGCTGTAATTCCAGAGACCTAAGCCGTTACATTTCACTGACATCTACAGGCGGTTCAGGGTCATAAGTTTTACATCCAGCGTTACAGAGTATTGCATTACTTCCTAATCCTGAGGGCTATTTTTTTAACAAGTTTATTCAATTTTAAGACACTCCGCAATTTTATTAAATTATTGCATGAATAAGGTCCGCATGGTGATGACGACAACAGAGAAATACAGCTTACCGGGCCTACAGAAACTTGCTTTGAGGAGATAGTTCTAGAGGTGATCTTATCTTCAGAAAAATACATTCCGAGAAAGCCTTCCACCAAAGACTTTCAAGCATTTTCAGGATATGTCACATTAGGCAACAACACCACACGGGAGGCTTTTAAAGCCTCTGTTTCCCTGTTAGCCACATTTGGCATGTGAAAGCAAGTTGCCTAAGCTTGTGCAGCACGTCTCTAACCAAGTTATGACACGTTATGGCTTTATGACAAGAAGTTGGACTGGTTTTCCTTCTGGCAACTTAGAAATTCTATTGCATTTTTCATGCTTTTACGTTTGTTGGGAAGACACGCGGGTGTCCTCCACACAAACATCATCAGCAAGACTCAGCCCAGCGCGCCAGAGAAATTACCAGAGAAATTCTTCTGCAGATTTCGAAGGCAGGCTAACCGCTGAGCCTCCGAGGTGGCCAAACCGATATTGAAATAATGGCCAAGAGATGTATCTGGATAACAATCACTCCCTGGATGGAGTAGTTGTTATTACTTGTACATCTATTTTACTCTGACACATCCTTAAATTCCCATGTGAACGTAAGAACTCTCTGTTCTGATTTTCTGACAGGCCTAATTTATATTACTGGGATTAACCAGAATTCGGGCAGTTTTCGCTGAATCTAATAAACTCACATTGGCCAAAACCAAGTGCATTTCACACCACAAACCAAGATATGCCCTTTAGGGACATTTTTCCATATAGCTTTCTAACCACTCACCTGCAATGGAGAGATAAAAGTCTTTAAAATCTTTGATCTCTCGGGAGCCTTCACAGGCCGCTGTGCAGTCATCATAGGCTTTGAAGAAATCGGGAAGAGCCAGTTCCATGTCGGAGATGGCCGTCCTCCAGTTGTCACCATTGTATGCTCTCACAGCCCTGACAAAAAGATTCTGAAGAAAATTGGCAGGAATGAAAACCAGCAGCAACTGATGTGTAGAAAGTTGCTGTGGTGGTAGGGCCTGAATCGTAGGCCCTGCACCGAAGCTGACCTATAGATGAACCTCACAACCCCACACTATACAGTATTAATCACATATGTAATGTATTGATAATCTATTTTAGCAGGTGTATATAGCTTTGCTGTAACACAAAATGTGCAGTGGGAACCAGCACGGTGATCTTTCTTTAGCTAAAGGCCAGGTGCAAGGCTGAGAAACCAGCTGCCTCTTGCTTTGTTAGCAGTATGTTACAAGACCGTGAGACCAGAGGCCTGGCTTGGGTGAGAAATATGTGATTAGATCGGGAGACTCCCTTGTATTCTTCCTTTAGCCCTGGCCAGGCTGTTAGAGGAATCCAACAGAGTGGACAACACCAGATGTTCCCGCATTTGAAGTTATGTTTATTTAATAGGATGTTACGTTTATTTAATAGTATAAAAGCTAGATCCTCTTGCAGCTACTTTGCAGACCTCCCCTACGAGTGGATGCCCTGCACAGGACTTCCCCATTGCTGGGACGGTTCTCCAGAATCCTCGCTGCAACACAGGCTCCTCAGCGACTGCGGCTCAGGATGATGATTTTAGGGCAACTGGTGATGGATCTTTCTTAATAACTACTGCTAATCCTATATAGTACTGATTAGGTGCATTACCCTGCTTGTTCTCCTTGCTGCTTAAAACTAGAGCATAATAAGCTTGCATTGCCTTATTGCTGTAATCCTTTGCAATAGACAGTAAAATAAGCCAACCCTTCTGTTGGGGCCTGTGTCCCTTTCTGCGGGACGCCCCCTGGGCCAATCAGCAGAACAGCCATGTGTAAACTCAAATACAGTAAATGACGTCTCCGCATTTTTGGGTTACTAAATAAGCTGTTATCCAATTAACGAGAGGACAACCAAGAGAGATGACTAATGGATTTTAGCAGGTATTTCCTTGAGAACAGAGCACGTGATTCCATTTGAGATCAACAGAAAAGCCTGCTGGACAGAACTACCAGTGTGAGTGTAAAGCACAGGTTTTGACAGAGGTTTTCAATGGAGTCTTAACACCAAATGACCAAGTTATTTTACGCTATACTGCTACAGCACTTCTGGAGGAGTAACAGAATGGTTCCAAAAGACCAGACTGAATAAAAAGTGTCACCTCATAAGGCTTTGTCTCCAAGTCTTTAATGTGCTCCTCAGCATCAGGTATGCTCTTGTAGTAGGCCATATTTCTTTGCATCATTTCATCATCTGGGTGCTTTAGAAGAAACGTGTGAGCTGCTGCAATAGCTTTTGGAAGATTATTAGCCTAAACAGCGATGGGGAGAGGAAGAAGGAGGAAAAAAAGGTTAATTAGAAAAAAAATCCCAAAAAACAGTTTAAAGTTTCCCAGTTTCTGTCCATGAATTTTCCTGCAGCCTCTATATTCCCAAACTTACTTTTACTGAGATCACAGTCTCAGCAGATACAACAGTAGAGTAAAACCAATAGAAATCTTCTTGGATTTATTCCTAGCTGCATCATTATGAACTTCTTTTTAACTTATTTCAAAAGTCCATTATTCTTGCAGATAGCAAGTCAAAAAAATTACTTTTTTCCCTTACCCTCCCCGTTCATAAAGCTGACAACACACAAAATTATATAGTTGCTCCTGTGTGGGAGCAGAAATTACCGATTTTAATCTATGGCTCCTGGGCAGGAATCATCCCTTCCCATGTACATGATGTTCATGTCGCTATTTTTGTCAAAGACAATATTACAATAACATATTTCCCCGATGGTGTTACGAAGTTAGAGCAAACAGTAGGGGACTCGATCAACAATTGTGTTCTAACACACTATGTGATTTTCTGTGCTCATTTTTGAACTAACTTTAAACCCTATGTGAGATACTTTGAGAAGTATGCATTTCTCACAACTGCATGTGCCAAATACATATGTAATTCTGTGTGCATGCATTCATACTTTTTTATTTTATTTAGATATGTATTTTTATAAGCTGCATGGTATATATACACATATTTAGAAAGAGTGAGAGAGTATTTGTGAAAACATAAAACCACATTAAGCCATTCAGAGTATTGGTGCATAGGTGACCTGAAGTCTCACGTCCCATCTGAAAAACTGCTGGAAAAAGTTCCCAGTGCTGGAATTCTGCCAGCTGCCCTTCCTGGCCGTCCCCAAACTAAGCATTCCCAGCCAGTCCAAACGCAAAGAGAAAACTTCAGCTGCACTTTCGTCAAACGCCCACTTTCTTTTGCGCATTTTGCTTTTAAGCCCCTTTGTTGGTAGGCTGATAGGTCTCATTATTTTTTGCTTAGTCCGTAATTTACTCTCGGTTTCAACTTGCACCACTAAAAAAAAAAAAAAAAACCAACAAAAAAAGGATTTGTAAAAACACATTCCTAAGTGAACTCGGTGGCTGCGAGAAAGCTCCCTCCAGAGGAGCAAGCGGCAGCACAGAAACACCGACTCCCAGGATCTACAACGTGGCAACATTTCGCTGTTGAACCCACCTGAATAAACACAGGGTCGCTCCAAAAAAAAAAAAAAAAATAAAAAAAATATAGAGACATAAAACATTTCCCTCTGCCTTCTTCCGACATGAGAGCTGCTGTGAGCAGGGTGGGGGAAGTGACATTCCTTTCTTCAGAAAGCCTCCAGCCAGGACAGCAACAAAGCCCTCCGTAAGGCAGCAGCTGGTGGCTCTAGAAGGCCCATTCAAACTCCCCGAAAGTGAGCGGGGAGCGCTCAGAAGTCAGGCTAAAACCTAATTAACGAACAACCCAAACAACTGACACTAGAGGCAAAAGCACGAAACTGCACCGCTTGCAGCGCGACGGAGCAAGAGTCCAGAGGGCGAGGAAGGGGTTTCTCCGACTTGCCTCTCGCATCCCTCCCTGCTGGTCCCTGAACTGCACCGGAACCGCTACAGCGGGGATGACTCTCGCTGCGAATCCCCACGTTTGCGAAGCACAAGGCGGGGGACGAGCAGTTTTAAGCAGGACAAGGACCGGACACATCCTCGGCCATGTCGTTTTGGCTTTGGCAACGCGAGGAGCTCCTCAAAATGAACTTCCTCTGCCCGGCGCCTTCTGCTCTGCGGGATCAAAAGCTAGAATGTATAAAGTTAAGTTCCAGGCAGTTTTTAAAGGCTGGAGGGTGACACCACACTAGGTGAGGCTTCGCG